CTTGGTACTTTACATGATTTCACGACCATTTCAACATTTCTCGGAACAATGGCATGCTGTCACGATAATGTATACACAACCAATATCACTGAAATGATATCAGGACTGTGTACAAAACTAGTCCAGTGGCACTTTGACATCGTGACATGATTACAGAACGATCGCTTGAATTGGAAAGTAATCACGTTTCGTTGCAGTCCATTTATTGTCAGTTTCAGATGTAATTGCAATGTATCACTTAAACTTCATTAGGACCGAGCGCAGGGAAATTAGGACACAGTATCGTTGTCTCTATAACATTTCACTTGTTTTAAATGACGATAATGAAGAATAGGCTTCAACATTTCTTTTGTCTGTGGCTATAAAACGTCAGGAACCATTGATCACATAAATCCTAAACCTTTCTCGAACTTCAGTGCTGCTACAAAGGGTTGTCATTTTAGAATCATTCTAACGAGAGCTCGCACAAGCTATTTATGAAACGAATGGAAAGTAACTCTTAAATAATTAACAATGGTGGTCAAAACCATGGTTGTGTGTGATGTCTTGATTTTGATTGATTGGTTAAACTTCGTTGAAAACAATGTAATTTGGAACATGGTCGTGGCATTTAAAGCGTGTGAGCCGTTGATGTGCTGGAAACCGGAGTGATTGAATGTACCCTGAAATATATATATACTCTTCAAAAAACGAAACTTGACATGTTGTTTTGAGTTTACTTACTGAGTGCATATAACTGATTCAAACTGATTTAAACATTGCTAAATTACAGTAAAATCATCACGTTACAAATTTCCAAAACATGATTATCCAGAAAGTGTTTGGTAAAACCACAGAGGGCTATTAAAGCCACTTCGTCAGATTATAATGTCAGTATCTTGTGTGACCACCATGAGCATCGATAACAGTTTGGCAGCGGTGACGAAAGAAAGATGCGAATGCTGTCTTGAGGAATGTTTTGATACTCTTGCTGAAGTGCTGTGTGCAGTTCTTGAAGTGTCTGAGGTGGCGGATTACGCTAGCGCAAGCGTCGATCCAGAGTACCCCATAGATGTTCAATGGGGGACAAATCCGGTGATCTAGAAGGCCAAGGAAACACCTGAACATTGTTTTGCTGGAGAAAGTCCTGTCAAACACGTGCAACGTGAGGTCGAACATTGTCATGCTCCAAAGATCAACCGTTGACGTTGATGAAGGGAACGACGTGACGTTGAACTGGTCTTCTGGCAAAAGGTCTGGCTTCCCATAGCCAATTGCGCACTGTCTGGTCGGAGATACGACGCAGTCCAGGAATTTTGATTGTTGTGGATGATGCGGCCGTGGTGTTTGAACGAATATGTCTCAACCGGATGTAGCGATTCAGGGCGGCGGTGGTAACTCTAGGTCGACCTGACCTGGATCTACCATTAACACTCCCAGTATTGTCGTGTCGGGTCCATAGGTTTAAGATGGTCTGTCTGGACACGCTGAAGTGCCTTGCCACCTTATGCTGCGATTCCCGTCCTTGTAAACAGCCGATGGCGTTATGTCGCTGAGCTTCTGTCAGTCTTTTCACTCTCTTGTCGTCTATAGTGGCTTAACGCAATGCATGTGGAGTACGATTGATGTGGCTTTTTAAAGCCTACAGTCATAGGCTTCAGCTCAGAGTGATAGACAATTTCATGTAGGGTGCGTTTTAGCGATTCACTACAGACGTGAGTGTAACGTTAAGTTTTTGTTCAACGTTTCTTTTTTCAAACGTTTTGTCGTCGGCAACCATTCCCACACATGTTGGGATTCAGCATGGAATGGTTTGCGTCAAATATGTTTCTAAAATTCAAATTCTTCCTATGTCAATATTTTTTTTTGAAGAGTATATTTAAGAAATGTCGTCCTCACATAGTTATACGTAACTTTCGGCATGAGATGGCTAGGTATAATACAAAGTGGTAGATACACATATACAAGGCAGTATTGAATACGAGTTCTATGTTGTTTGGGAACATTAGAGTTTAAATGATATTCGTGAATGAAGGCAAAGGCAGTTTAAGTGGTGTCAAGTGATATTGGTTTCAAGTGTAGTCCTCTGTGGTAAATACAACAATGAAAATATATATCTGAAACAAAAATCGATACAACATACTACCATAGTTGCACTGTCTTCACACCAACACAGGGTTGGTAATTTTCACACACACAATTTTGCCTAAACACAGAATACATGGTGGTGGTATTCAAGTACCACATGACCCTTCGCTCCGGTCATGCTCATCGCTGTGCTAAAAGTGAGTCGATTGTACACTATTCATTGATGAATCCACGAACAACCCAAACCCGTGTTAAATGTGGATAAATGTGCCCATAAATGCAATTCATTGTGTAATGCAATTCATATGTTAATATCCGTTCAAAATATTTGCTATTTTTCAATGTTCGAGGATAAGATAGTTTGGAAACAATGAATGAGTCGCTCAATGTAAGTTCTTTTAAACATTTAGCAAATTACATTAAAGATGTCAGGAATCCATATGCACTTCTCCTACGGATTTTAGATTTAACTTGGGAACCATCATGTAACAATATGCATCTAAATCAGCTGCATTCCACAAGAACAATGACACTTGGTGTTTATTACAGAACAGCTACAGGGAATATATGTACATGTGAAATAAGGGAACATATAATCTCTGAAATTTTCAGGCAACATATATAAAGTCTGAATCATTCAGGGAATAAGTATAATCTTATAATTGTTTAGGTACTCCACATATTCCGTGATTTAACAACACGTGTTTAGGCATATTCCCTGAAACTGACGCATTCATGTTTATTTAGAGGAATTGTTCTCTGTGATATCAATATACCAAAGTTAATGAGTTTACTGATTAGGAAATTATATTTGACATATAAATCAATTTAACGAAGAATGTAATTTTCAAAGGATAACATATCTGAAAATAGTTTATGGATGAATCGATAGAAAGAAATATCTTATTGATAAAAGGTCTTTTAGTTGACTGGCTAGCAAATTAACAGTATCAATTCCGTGGATGCTTCATTCATATTGCGTGAGGGTATTTTACAAAGTACAGGAATATTTTATGTTTAACAGTAAGAATCGAGTTCATGTTTAAAGTCCAGTTAACCCCCCCTCACTCATTGAGAGGTTTAATACAATAGACTATTGATTCGTTTTGAAGGTATTCAGCTGTATCAGTAGGTTTTCACAATGTTTAACTGTAAAGTTTGCAGATTACGCCGCACTCGCTGGATTTATAAGGCACTCGGAGAATGACTATCGCTCTGAAATCACAAAATGACTGGTGTAAAATCAACTTCCTTAAATTAAATGTTAAGAAAACAAAAGAGATGGTTATTGATTTTCTGAAAAGTAAACGTGAGCTGTTGCCAATTGCCATTGATAACGAAACCATAAGTAGAGTTGAGGAATATAAGTATCTTGGCACAGTGAGAGATTCTAAGCTCACCTGGAACAGCAATATTGATAACATATACAAGAAAGGACTAAAGCGGCCATACTTCTTACGTTGTCTTCGTTATTTTAAGACTGACACAACCATATTTATTCAAAGTGTTTTAGTTTTCAATGTACATTGCTGATACGGCGTTTTGTCTGGTTCTGTCTGTTCAAAATCGATGTAAACTTTACAAAATTGTTAACACAGCAAGTAAATTTCTGGACTTAAAATGCAAGATATCGGCACTATTTACAAGCTGCAAATTGAAAAGAGCACGTAAAATTTTAAATGACAGCACTCATGTCCTATTTCCAGAATTTCAACTTCTTCCTTCTGGCCAACGACTGCGCACGCCGATATTCAGAACAAACAGGGCTCGAAATTCTTTCATCCCAGCAAACATCAGTGTTTTAAATGAATTATTTTAGTTTTTGATAATCATTTTATAATACTTTATCAATTGTTTCAAACTGTTATATTCATATACTTTTAGTGCTAATGTACCTCAGCAAAAAAATTAATGTTGCCACTATAGCTCTAAATCTTAAATATATTATAATTTATTCATCATGTAGCGTTACCTCATATATTGGGCGTTGTTGCCAGCTATTTTAGTGATATTTGACATATATATGGGTGTTTTTGTGGTATTATGCATATGTATCTTTTCTTGTTTTGTATGTGTTTTCCATGTTAACCGTGTAAAGCAATGTCCTTCGGGATAATAAAGCATTATCTTATCTTATCTTATCTATCTTATAGTATCTAAGAACGCATTTAATCCCATTCCGTATGTGGATATGACAATTTCGTTGGTATGGTAACTTCTGACGTTTCTGCCCAGAAATATGATCGTTGGTTCGCTGTGATTGTGTCTGTTAGCGACATACTCGCACTCGTGGGTTTTACCCAAGGGACTTCCCTCAAACATCAAACTGAACATGTATTTATTGCCAAGGCCATGAGTCCTTTAAGAATGGTCATTGCTTTGACAATGGTGCCTTGATTTGTTTGTCTGTTGTTAATTATATTGATTTTGAATTAATAGTAAGTGTTTTTCTTTATTTAAAACAAACCACCATATCATGGTCCATACTTTTAAAGCGATGTGATGCTTCTTGATATAAAGTATAATGTCGAATACTATTCACTGTACGTCACAAATGTGATCCCTCTAAGGGCGTTGTTTTGTTTGTTTGCTTGTTGTTTAACGCCAGACTCAGCAATTGTCCAGCTATTTGGCGTCGATCTGTAAAATGTCGAGTCTAGAACAGACAATCCAGTGATTGACATCATGAGCATCGAACTACGCAATTTGGCCACGATATGCACCAGCAACCCTGACCTCCCTTTTGTCACCTCTTACAACAAGCATGGGTTGAAGACCAGTTTTTACCCGGATCGTCACCACATTCTAATGCCGTCTATCGCAGACATAATAGAATACACAAAAAGTTTGTTAGGGTTGATGGTGTTGCGTGTACATTAATAAAGACTGCATTTTAAAAGTCAGTTACGTGCAAAGCAGAATGACAAACAGGAGAGATAGAAACATTTTAATTCATGTCAAATACATCACAGGTATAAATAATGAATGCAAAACCACGAGGATGAACACCCCTAATGTATACATCTTGTTTGTCGGCAAAATATCCAATAAGTTATATTTTACTGCCCCATTTGAAAACAAACCCAACGCTTCTCAATAATCGTTGTCAACCACACTTACTGACGGCAAAAGTATGTTTACAGAGAGACATCGGTTTATGGACAACAGACATTCCCAGAGTGTACTGTTTTCGTTGTCTGACAAACGAAAAGGCAACATAGTCACCCGAATCAGCCGAAGTACATCTGGAAAGTACGTCTCTTACAGTAAGAAATCAGGAAAATCAGTAAATGATGGTGAACGATAATGAAAAATAATAACAGATTATCTTACACTGGCATGTATTTACATGTGACAAATGTGAAAATTGTTATATGGGCAATCATGGCTCACATATATATTTTTACAACGTCGTTGTCATAAATTCGGAACTGAATTAGATTCACTGAAAGTTCTGCTGACAAGGCAAATCAGTGATGTACAAAGGCGGTGTTTGCGATGTTTTTGGCGGATTCTTGTCCATACACATCCAACACTGACATAAAACGAAGTTTCGTAGAACAACGATCTTCTTTTAAGATCTTGATCCAACGTTGATGATAAACGGTTCTCTATCTGATCTTCCTTAGAACTGGATATCGTTCATTTCTTATACACATTAAACAAAGAAGTTCATTTTCGTCATACATTGCATATCATATATAGCATAAAGAGCAAAACAATGGGATGTATGCAGTATGGTGTCCCTGTTCTGACGTCAAGGCCTCGATCCGACTTAATTCCGTGTAGCAACATGGATTCAAACACAACATTACTTCTATGTCTAGGGTGTATGTGCCTATCCGCCAAGCCAGTCTATATACGTAGTCTCTCTACTCAGCCATCCAACAATTCGGTAGGAGTCCCATTTATTTCTCTGTATAACAACATGTATTTGTAATCACCTGAATACTGAAGAGTTTATCACTATTCCATGTCTTGCTACTGAATACCTACCGTTCCACTATATGCATTTCCCTATATTACAAACTGAAGTAAACTGCCCACAGAAATGTGCTTCAAGACGATGATGAAAACAGAATCTGAATTCATTGTCACATTTCATATGATCATACACTGAAGATATATTAGTTATGTAAAAAAGTACAAACCATACATAGTAGACCAGAAAAAAGTACGTATCTAGAAAGATACTTCAACTGGAAAACTCATAAATGATAGATCATGAAGATTTTGGGAGATAATATATGATATAATGCGGTGTGTTTGGTCACAATATAAAATTATCCAGCAAAAATATTCACGATCCCTGTATATAATGAAAGTGAAAAAAATCAGTAACACAAAGGAAGATAAGTATGATAGTGCAAATCATAAAAGGTGTGTCAATTGTGCGCAGAATATCATTCAGACTGTATATATACTCGTCAAATTCTTTTCAAAACCATTTTAATAATATTGAAGTAATCAAGGTTATATTTATCTCTTTGCGTTCGGTTCAATGTTAAATATTGTTTTCTTAAAAAAGATAACAACATGCATCAAACGAAACTTTATATATCATGTCTTTTACTATTTTAGTTGTTTATAACTACATGTACCTTTCAAGTTACACAAACCCTTTAAACAATCAACAATATCTCAGTGTTTCTTTATATTCTTAATGTCTCATCACATGCTGTGGCAATGTTCTGGTCCTATTCTGAAAAGAGAGATCAGAGCTACGATCATCGTGAGTCCTAATTCAGAAATAGGAGTAACGGTCGCCTTAGCGCTCAGATCGGATTGTAAAACGGGTCCCAGACCATTAGATGTGTAAGGACACATGCACCGGTAAATACACATTTGTACATAGTATATTAGTGTCATAATGTATAAACACATGATGTTGAATGCAATGATAGGACAATTACGTGGCAGATGTTCCCGAACGTTTTCCAGCCTTAACAAATCGTGAATAACAAATTAATACAAACACATGTTCACATACAAAGAAGGGTTCTTTCATTACCTCAGTATATTTTGATTCCTGAAATTGATTAATGAATTTCCGTACAAAAAGGACGTTTACTAGACATTGTTACATTCAGCGCCTTCATGCCCGAACAAGTGTTCATGGGTTTATTAAATAGAAGCACTAAAATCATGTACATCTTAATACGAAAGCTGCGCCGAAAGTAGAGTAGATTAGAGGACTCTGATTTTATTATGTGCACATTTATGAATCCTTATTACAGAATGATGTTACCGCGAAAACAATCGCTTTCAATCCCTTGGACATTCTTTGTAGGACATATCCCAAGTCACCAATGCTTGTCGTTGGAATCAAAGTGACCAATTGGGTCTCCTTTTGATTGCATTTGCCATGATGGCCTAATATCGTTTAAATAACCAATTATTTCCCAACTAATTTTCCACCGGGGAATATATATAAGAATAGCTGAACGGCCTAATCTGTTGCATACTAAGATCTTATCCGTAACGATCCTGGTAAGAACTGGTCTTCAGCAACGACAGGCTCGTTGACTTGGTTGACAGTCATGTCATCGTATCACAAGCAAGCAACAACTATACTTAGTAAGATCACCGCATAAAGATTCAGAGTCTTAAAAACTATAATCAAGACAACAGGACTAGCTTAGTTAGGATCTTGCTATTGACTTTACCTTCAACAAAATATTCCTAAGAAAATATGAAGACTCAATTTGGTTTTGCCTGGTGTAAAATTTGCAAGAATATACTTGACACATGTCTGACTTAAACAATGGCTCAACTTAGTCATATGTACTGTGGGAAGTTATCTCAAGTGTAACATAATGTAATTGGATGGATAGTTAAACAGTAGTTACATATTTACAAATATTCTGAGAGCAGTTTGAAGAACACTTGATTTTTTAAAGAGGTATATGTCATAAAGTGAAGGGCAAACATCATGTGCATATAGGCACTGTCATCATAATCCCTGTATGTATATATGTTGTTGTATACAATTCATCTCAAAGAAATCCTCCAATCATTAATAAGGATTAATAAAAGGATTCCAAGGAGGATTCCAGTTGGAATTCTGTAAATAACTCCGCGAAAAACATCCATGAATGATTAAATGAAGGTTCCATGCATGTCAATAAAGGATCCCAGGAAGAATGAAATGAAGAATTAATGAAGGATCCATAAACCGTTAAATGAAGAAGTTCATGAAGAATCAAATGTAGGATTCCATGAACGGTTCAATGGAGGATTTCATTAGGGATTGCCATGAACGTCTCAGTAAGCATACAATGAAGAGTTACTTAACTGAACACACTTTTTGAATATGGAGACTGGCACAAAATGATTCTCATGTCAGCAGCATGATTGTTAAGAGTAAAAAATAACCACACACTTTGATTCAGTGAACAAATAGTTTACAACAACGTTAAACACATTGCGTTTGAACAAATATTCCGAAATCTCTTCCCTTCACTTTTCCCTGAATCATATTTCCACATAAAACACACACGGTTATTCACATCCAACTGAAATTTCGAAAGTGTCACGCAAAGGCATGAACAATGGATCGCACGGTAGAAATACAGAGGCATTAGTAGGTGTTCATGGTACTCGTCATCATCACATAACGGTAATACTGCACGCATCCCTGCACATAGATGTCTATAAATGAGAAATTTCACAACTTCAGCTTCTTCTGTTCACGTTATCACACATTGAACATGGTCTCCTGAAAGGCATTCGTTGTACTGCATAACCATTGAGCACGAATGATGGGCACACGGAGACATTACATTGAAAACAGCATCTTCCTTGGCGTTGCTGATTGTCCAACGCTGCTGGGAGTGCGCTCACCGTCCTGGAGCGTTGAAAGGTTGAACAGCGACGGCATCAACCGCTTGAACTTTTTATTCATTCCGAAATATATAAGTGGATCTAGGATGTGAGATGCTTTGGCACATAGGGCTGGCACAAGGGAAACATACATGGGAATTGTGACGTTGGAAGCAAAGGCTTCGATCATACTCACGATAGCGTAGGGCGTCCAGGCAAGGACAAACACCGATAGCATTAGAATTGTTACCTGGAAAGACAAAATGTTGCTACATTGTAAACAATGCATAATTATCACATAATATATAAAATGAAACATTATTACTTTCGTGGTATAAAAGTCAAAATCAACATCAAGCGAACTGTTACTACCTAACATATTCTAGAGGCATTTAGAAGTTGGAGCAGTAAGGAAGGATAACAATATGTGGAGGGACAATTTCACAACTACAGTGAGAGCGACGGTGAAGGTTCTATCAAGCAAGTGCTTGATAACGGCGTTAGAACCTACATCGAAACGTCGCCCTCACTCTGTTATACAAGTTGTTAATCAATATATTGTTATCCTTCCCTATTAAACATAGTTTGTAATTGTTTGGATTTTCCTTCGATTCCAGTGTTTTATGAACAGTTACACAACTGATACACATCTTAAAAGGACTATTAGACAGGATTATAATGTGTAATATAGCTTTGCAGTTGGGATAAACTTAAGTTAGACATTGGTCGCTGTGATGATCTTTTTTATGTTTAGTGAATTAGTGAGTTTAGTTTTACGCCGCTGTTAGCAATATTCCAGCAATGTCACGGCGGAGGACACCAGAAATGGGCTTCATACATTGTACCCATGTGGGGAATCGAACCAGGATCTTCGGCGTGACAAGCGAACGCTTTAACCACTGGGCTACCCCACCGCCCCTTTTATGTTTAGGAGCAAATAGACAACCTCTTCTTCATACGACTAACAACCAAAGTGTTTGTATGCGTTTTTTTAAATAACACGTGTCAGTGACATTTCACAAAAGTGTCTTTACCAAAAAGTATGGAACACAGAAGGCAGGAACCGTAAAGGTCCGGGTTAGAATGAACCTTCAGCAACCCATGCTTGTCGGAAGAGGCGTCTAACGGGATCAGGTGGTCAGGCTCGCTGGCTTGGTTGACACATGTCATCGGTTCCCAATTGCGCAGATCGATGGTTCATGCTGTTGATCACTGGATTGTCTGGTCCAGACTCGATTATTTACAGACCGCTGCCATATAGCTGGAATATTGCTGAGTGCGGCGTAAAACTAAACTCACTCACTCAGAAGGCAGGAATAATGTACTGTGTGTATGGACTGTCGTGTATTACGAATTATGGGCTTGTGCTTGAATGGCGCTGAAAAGTAATATACTTAACGGGGAGCATTTGTGGATGTCATTTTCATTAGTTATATAATTTATGTTTGTTTGTTAATGCAGTAACTTCCCAACTTTATGGCGGTCTGTAAATAATAGTCTGGACCAGACAATCCAGTGATCAACAGCATACGCATGGATATACGCAATTGCGATACGATGACATGTGTCAACCAAGTCAGCAAACATGACCACCCTTTAGTGGCCTCTTACGACAAACGTAGGTTGCTGTCGACTGATTCTAGCCCGGTTCTTCATGGGTCTATATACATGTAACTTATGAGTAATACAAGGTTTGGGGGTATATTCTTACTCCTTCACCAGGTTAAGTGATGAAGGGGTAAGAACACCTTCCGAAAAGTTGTGCTCCTTATAACAGAGAAGTTGGCATCCACAAATTCTCCACTACAAGGTTGGGCTAACATTCAAGAAAGAAGACAATGCAGGAATACCGTACTTTTAGCAGACGCAGCTCCTGTAATGACCACTGTTTCCAACGTGTGTTTTGCTTCCACCGTAACATTTTCTGCCTGGTTGCCGTGCTTATGCTTGTTATGGAGATGTAACTGAAGGCCATGGCAGAAATAGGCAGCGCTAGGCAAAACACGAAACTGCTTAAAAGGTAAGATTTGTTTGGGTGACTCCACAGAAGGGTACAAGAGAGGCCATATCGTTCTACATCGTACATGCCCCAACCGGCCAATGGAGTTATGGCCCAAAAGAACGCATAAGAATGAATGGCAAGGAGACTGGTGATGACTTTCCATCGGTTGTGTACTTGAACTGAAACAGAAGAAAATAAATAATTAATTAAACACTAACCAAAAAGAAATTGCGTACAAGAACAATTTTCGTAGTCCGAGTCGGTTATTAATAATAATAATAATGTGTCCATTTATATAGCGCCAAACTCCACACTAGGTATGATCATAGCGCTAATAATCAAGGCACAGCACATTTTTACCCCGGATAACCCAATTATCGTTTCAAGAAAACCATTTGGAATCATTCTTTTTCGTACAGGTTTAGAAACTATGCTGGTCAAACTGTTCCGTGCAAGCAGTATGAAAGAGAAATAAGTGACATATGGTCTTGTGAGCGGAAATATTCAATTCACGGATCCGTAAATGATACTTATTATGCATTGAAAAGATGATATCAGTCATCAAATGTTAATGTCATGTTAAACTTTTCCTGGTTCAGGAATTCTTCACAGTAAGGTCATTCATTCTCTTGTGTTACCTGAAGACTGAAATAACTCTCTGTAAACATCCATGTGTGAACCATTGTGTGTTATGTTTGTCATAGCCTTCATGCAAATCATATCTCTTTTGAAGGAATTAAATAAGCGGAAGAAACGCTTGAATGTGGAAAGGATATACCACCTTGAGTGAGTCAGTATATTGTTTACGTTCCTGATCGACTTATGACGTAGACATGAAGACGATAAGTAGTCCACAGTAGACAGGACTTGTAGGAGGATACAAGTGATCACACGACAAGAATGTTCCCCCTTTGAGTGAGTGAGTCTTCTAGCAATATTCCAGCAACATCACGGCGGGGGACACCAGAAATGGGCTTCACACATTGTACCCATGTGAGGCATCGAATCCGGGTCTCTGGTGACGGGCGAATGCTAATCACTGGACTACCCCACCGTCCTGTTTCCCCTGTGCCAGACATACATTGAGTACGTATTGTTTTATTGTGTTGGCCATTTCCGAGCCGGACCGTGCGATGAGGTAAACGCGGAACTTGATACGAGATACATATATAGTTTGTTTGTTTGTTGTTTAACGCCGCACTCAGCAATATTCCAGCTATATGGCAGCGGGCTGTAAATAATCGAGTCCGGACCTGAGAGTGATCAACAACACGAGCATCTGTCTATTCAATTGGAATACGATGACATGTGTCAACAAAGCCATCAAGCCTGACATTTGATCGTGTTAGTCGCCTCTTACGACAAGCATGGGTTGCTGAAGACCAATTCTGACCCAGGTCTTCACGGGTGCATATGAAAGAAGTGCAAGTATCAAGCGACTACAAACGTTTCCATAATCTTACGAATTTCAAGCTTGAATAAAAGCAGAGTCCATTGCACGTTACCATTACAACTCTGTATGAATTGACGATTTCGTGCACAGCGTATCCTGCCACAGAGGTGCTAATTATCACAAACACATGCAAAGGCACGTCAAACTCCGCACGTTTTCACGTTACAGTATCACAGCGGTATGTACACAGGAATGTGGGACAGACAAGCAAGTATTTAATTACATCAGTTAACCAGGCCAGAGACTCCGATCTAATTATCAAGCCAGTAACAAGAAGAATCAGAGCGATGGGACCAAACCTAGTTGTCTGCATTCCACAGGGACATAACATACTGACCTAATGCTGGCCTCTTCACTGAGACGTAACGTACAAGGCTCATCACCCCGAGGGTTGTCATGCTGTTTACACCGAAGTAGAAGCCAAGAAACCCATTTATATCACAACCTGCAGCAGAGATACATATACTAGAGGATATGGTACACATCAAGTCTTGAAGAGAAATATTGCTGCCAAAATCGATAACAATGCCATTACATAATGTATATTATGATATTACAAAAAGAATAGGAAAGAGTTTATAGTTATAATTTTGCAAATGTATAATGTACAAAGATGTGGAATACTGTGTGTTGTTTGGCAATATTCCAGCTATTTGGCGGCTGTCGATAAATAATCGAGACTGGACCAGACTATCAAGTGATCAGCAGCAGGAACATTGATCTACGCAAATGGAATACGACCCATGCTTGTTGTAACAGGCGACTAACCGGATAGGGTGGTCAGGCTCACTGACTTGGATGACACATGTCATCGTATACCAATTGCGTACATCGATGCTCATGATGATTGGATTGTCTGGCCTAGACGACCGCCATGTAACTGCAATATTGCCGAGTACTGCGTTAAACATCAAGCCCTTTGTTTTGGAATTGAACCTGGTTCTTAGTAGTGACTGGAGAACACCTTGTCCTCCTTCCTTCCACACTGTGGAACCCAGTTTCAGATCGTCCATTTCATGACGTAAAGCAATTCGCCTTGGACGGAAATGTTTCTGTGTGTGTCTTACCTATTTTTCCAAATGTCCACCTATGTGAAAAGGTGGCAGCGATGGTCATCGGGTACCCCATCAGCGGATGTCCGAGGTCCGAGATGGCTAGATTGACTATGTAATAATCACAGGCAGTAAATGACCTCCGGAGCCGGTATGCAAGGCATATGACGAGTGTGTTGAGAGGAATGGCTATGAGGTCTGAAACAGATAAAAAATGTATATTTGACTTTTCGATAGTCATTTTTGAAAACCTTATTACAAATGTGCACTTCTTTTTGGCAACATTTTACATTGATTCAAAACGTATTGGGGACATTCATTGGGTTTTTTCGCCGTACGTGTCATTGAATCTAAACTTCGCTATTAGTAATATTTCAGTTATGTCATGCCGTAGATGGATTCGGAAGTTAAACCAAATCACAAGCCTAGAAACATAATCAGCCGGGATTCGAACCCAATGCTATAGGACTCCGGCCCGCCTATGGGACGCAGCTCTGTGACGACTGGACCAACCCAGATCCATCCCTGTGAAAAAGAGGTGAAACTCTTCCGTGCTGAAAGGAAGCGACAAACTCAACAAGCTCAGTCGACAACGCATTCTCCTACTCATGACACCGGGTGTTCTCGAGAAAGATTTCGATGTCGTCAAATCATCTTGGATATCCGGTATAGACATTCAGATAGCAATACTTGACCTACGAGGTCACTGAACCACATAGTGTGGTCATCCCCGGTGCTATTTGTGTATCACCTTACTCTCATGCTATCACCCACTGGCCAAAATACCCGTGAATGTCCGGGTTAAAATATTGATCTTCAGTAACCCATGCTTGTCGTAAGAGGCGACCAACGGGATCGGGTGGTCAGTCTCGCTGTCTTGGTTGACACATTTCATCGGTTCACAATTGCGTAGATCGATGCTCATGCTGTTGATCACTGGATTGTCTGGTCCCGACTCGATTATTTACAGACCGCTGGAATATTGCTGGAATATTGCTGAGTGCGGCGTAAAACTAAACTCACTCACTCACTGGCCCAAATTCCTTAAGTAAAGTGCATCTTCATATATACTCATGGAAACAAATAAGGGAACACATGAAAGTACACATGTTCCTTTATTTATTTCCAGAATTTCACCAACTGTGCAATAAGAATCAAGGAACACTTGTACTTCCATGTGTTCCTTTATTCGTTTCCTTCAGTATATAGCTGAAATTTTGCGGCGTCAAACAACACTGACATATCCGGACCCAGTGACGCACTGTGCCATGAAGAAGGTCGCGGGGACTTTTTTCAATTCCTTTTTAAACAAATCAATAAATCATCAATATAGTTAATAGGTCCAGGTGCCAGGTACAATTTAAAGTATAAGATGCAAGCATTATTTTGGTAAATATACACTTCTTCTATTTACGTTTTGTTGTACATTGACAACTGTGAAGATTCAGGGTAGATTTGACCTTCAAGAACCCATGCTTACACGAGAAGGAGCTGTACTTGGAGTAAGAAAGGGATCAGGTGGCCAGGTGGTCAGGCCTGCTCAATTGGTCATGTTATCGTATCCAAATTGAGTAGAATTGCTCATGAAGTCAATCACTGCATTGTTTGATACAGATTCGTTCTTAGCAGACCGCCGTTAGACATCTGGATTAATGCTGCATGCGGCGTCCAATGAACAATAATATACTACACAAAGTGTCTCCGTTCATACATTCAGGTGCCCAAAATAGACACGCAGTATCAACTTACAACTTCCGTATTCATGTATTCAGGTAAATATATGTTGTCATTCTACTGACAATGAAAAACATTCATGGATTTATTGGAACGCATTACTCATGACCCGTTGACACTGAAAGCCTCTGTGATTGATACAGCAATGGACACAGGTAGGGAATTTTAGAGCAATGTGGCGTTTGTCACATTAACCGCGTTCTGATAGGACCAATGCCAAGGTCGATAATAATTGGCCGTCGGCGGAACCATGAAGATGATTGTATCGCTTCCTTTCCGGGATGAAGGTCGATGAAGTAAAAACCGCCTCCGGTGGTATTTGTGTTGCAGATTAAGCTCATCCAATTAGGAGACCATGACATCGTGCTGGCTTCTGGGACTTGTCGTTCATCGAGACATTTGCTGCAAGTTTCCTCAGCATTTATTCAGCTGTCTTATTCACTGAACCTGCAGATAAAAGTATCTTCCGTCCATCGAGACGCGCCAACCTGTAAATAATTTAGTCTGTCAAAACCAAACCAGTGGTTGATGTAGTGAACACCGCCCGATGTCGTGAGGGTAGCATATCACGCAATCACCTGAAAAAATCCTTTCACTTTCTTCTCAGGAATGTGCTACTTTGGACCAATTCTACTTCAGAATGGCTATCGGTTGTTTAACGAGACTCGCGTTAGAATTGATCTTTAGCAACCCACGCTTGTCGTACGACGCGTTTAACGAGGTCGGGTGGTCAGGCTCGCTGACTTTGTTGACACATGTCATCATATCCCAATTGATCGATGCTCATGTTGTTGATCACTGGATCGTCTGGTCCAGGCGCGATTATTTTCAGACTTATAGCTTGAATATTGCTGGGTGCGGCGTGAAACACCACTCAAACAAACAGCTATAGTATACAGTTCAACGTAATATGTTATTCATGTCTTTGAATAACAAGCAAATCAATTGTTCCTGTGTGTTAGCATGGTGTTGGGACAAGCCCGACGTTTGCCACTTTGCTGAAACCCAGAAGGACGGGTATGCCAACCTACACACATAATCGGACGAACCGGTATTCGAACCCACAGTCATATGATTCTATTGTACCAAAGGGACGCACATTACGTTGAGTCGCTTTATACGACAGAAGTGGCCGTGTCTCAATAAAAATGATCAACTAACATTTATAGAATGGTACTGGAGTAAAGGGTGCTCAATACATACACCCTAGTGGGAAAGTGCTGGAAAGTGAAGATAGTGTTTATAGTTCGATATAATACAATAAATTTCAATTTCGAAAAGAATGGTTTATTTCCGCAAAAGAATATTTTATGTTTTCACTGACAGCAAATCGATACAAATCTGTAAGGCTGGGCAGTATATAATTTCCTTGACAGTAAATTAGGAGAAAAACATTCTTTGGTTTATATCTTCTAGTGGTTATATGGCCATGGGTGCATTGTGCATTGTGTTTTGTCGGATTACTATTCCTGACAGTTTTGCTATTATTTGTTGATAAATATCGTGCGAGCAAGTTGACATTCACAGATATGTATAACTGATAAATGTTATGAGACTAAATTTTATAATCGGTTGATCATGACGGTTTGAAATTCAGGAGCGAGTGAGTGAGTGAGTTTATTTTTACGCCGCACTCAGCAATATTCCAGCTATATGGCGGCGGTCTGTACATAATCGAGCCTGGACCAGACAATCCAGTGATCAACAGCATGAGCATCGATCTGCGCAATTGGGAACCGATGACATGTGTCAACCAAGTCATCGAGCCTGACCACCCGATCCCGTTAGTCGCCTCTTACGACAAGCATAGTCGCCTTTTATGGCAAGCATGGGTTGCTGAAGACCTATTCTACCCCGGATCTTCACGGGTCTGAAATTCAGGAAAACATATTGAAAAAAAATCTTCATACTTTTGAAATATAAAGTTTGTGATTGTAATGCTCGGACTATTGAATAACGTGCATTACCTGTTAACTAAGGACGAATTGTTCCATGTTCTACCTCCGGTCGGCAAATAGTATTCCTCATCCTTTAATAACGATTAGATGTTCCAAACAATAAGAAACATTTGCAGAGATTTGTTGAGGTTAATCAATTCTATTTCCAATATATAGTTATTCCTTATAAACATACATAATCTCTCAATGTTTCAATTTGTATGCCAAAGATCAATGTTTGTACAAAATGGTCTTTATGGTCAGATGTTTATGAAAACTTCTGACAGAAATAACTGTTCAATCCAGCTAGACTTAGAATATGTCTGGCAAACATTAACACCTCAGGTACACGATCTGTTGATTGGCATTTTAGAAGTTGATCCATAATGGAAAAGTATCATACTTTTCTACCTTCAGGTACACATTGGTCATAGTGAAATAATAAAACAAAATATTATGAATCAGAAGTGTCTATTTTCAGTATTGTCAATATTAAAGTCTTGCCGAGGAATAACTATTTTCATTAATGCAATGTACAGGGATGTCTGTCGTGTTTTAAAGTATATAGAAGGGGTGCTTGTTTGACAGTGAGTATTTTCTAATAAACGAAAATGAAAATGTTCTTAGAAAGGTCTTCATAGCTCCATAATCACAAAAGCTCAAATAGCTTCAACTGACTTTGCTTAGACAAATTAATGAATAAATATTTTGATATTTGAAATGTGTTGTGTTTCCCTAGACACATTTCTCGTTCACACTAATTTACAGTTCTATAAATATAACGCCCTGATATTGAATATTTTCATCTCAACGAGAAAACGGGTTCATAATCTTTTTTGTTGCTATCAAAGTTTCATTTTCGATTTTTGAATTTCTATATGACCATACAGCGTTACCTGTAATAGGATTTTCCTGTTCTTAATTTCGTTTGAACTTCGGACAGTGCATTTGTAGACTACTACTGAGAAGAATTGACTATTTCAGATTTAGTCATAGTTTGATTAATGTTTTTGGTTATATACATGTAGTTATGTATGGTTCATTTTCATTTTCATCCCACTTCTAAAAGTATTAAAGTTCTTATCCATATTTAGCGTTCTTTTCTTGTTCGTTCCTTTAACATGATTTAAAGTTGTTCATTTGGAGACAAATAAATTTCTTTTGCAATACGTCTCCGTAACATACATGATAAATGTGAGAAATGCGAGAAACATGAGACATGTGAGACATGTGGGAAATTATATTAGAAATGGAGTGTCAATCATATGGAGGGTCTTAATATATTGAACGGTAGATTATATTTAACTTATCTTTATACATCGGTGCTGAATATTTCCTATGGATCAGTGACAAATGTCTGACTCAGTTTGTCCACAATGTGATATTTAAGCGTTTGGGTGTTGTAAGATTTCTTTACACAAATAATGTAAGATAAACACAGAATAAGTGGGTTACCACAGTGAGTATATGAGAAATGCGAGAAATATGGGAAATGTGAAACTATGAGAAATGTGAGAAAAAAACGAT